TCGAAGAGCTGGCTACAGCCATTGACTATATATACCTACAGTAAGTTTATAGTCAATGCTACAGCTCATAGTGACAACACTGTACGTAAATTCCTATTCCCTGTAAAATAAAAAAATGTATCAATCATTGGTAGTTTTTTCACTTTTTTATCTTCTTGTTTTTTCCTTTTTCGGTCGGCACCACTAGGTTTTTTATTTCTGTCCCTTTTGTTCAGTATATCATTACGAAATCCACTAAAACGCAAAAATAAACAGTCCCCTAATTTTGAATAACAAATACACCGACAAAATGTGTTTTGTATTGTTAAAAAACAAATAACACTTAGGCCTACTGATCGTACAACAAGGACTGACAAGGACACGTGACCGTGGTTACTTATATAATAATGAAAGATTTTATCTGTCTATTTTTGTAGCTAACAACGATAAATGAACAACAGATTTGTTAGCTAAACAGAATGTAAGAATCCAGAATATCAGTGTTTTGCGCCCCCTTAAATCCTGCGCCCCAATGCACCCTGTTGGTTGCATTGGCGTTAGTTACGCCACTGCCTATCTGTTATTGGCTCAATCAAACCACGTCCATCTTCATTTTAAACCTGGCTACAGTTTTGAAATTAGAATGGGATGTCTCATTCAATCAATAGTCGAACATACTACTTATCTGCAATAAAAGACAAGCCCAAGCCAGACATTTCGGCACAGGGTTGTACTAAGCAGGGTCTAAGCCTACTCTCTCTCTACATCTAATATTGGCTTGGTTCATATAAGCAGAGGAAAAATTAATGTTATTGAGTAGATTAACTCAACCAAGCAACTGCCAACGGATCTAGGCAACTGGTTTTATTTTTTGAATAATCAAAATAGAGTGAATTTAATTCTAATGGTGAGTTAGGTAAGTTTCTGTTACTTAGTTTCCTTCCTGTTGATTGAAAAATGCTAAAAAAAAGTTCAATAGTTGTAAGCGGTTTCCCAGAGACATGTAAGTTAAACTTACAAAATATATCACCAGCTGTGCATTAATTTGGCTCAAAAAACTACAAATTTAGTCTTACTTAATATGTCAAAAAATTAATTATAAGCAAACACTGATGTTTTAGCCTCATTTCAGATAAGCAGCTAGCAATCGCAGCTAGACATTGATTTTCTCCAGGTAGATATGACCGATACCATTGACTATATATATCTACTGTAGGTATATATAGTCAATGCCGATACTTAAACCCTTTTTAAGACTATGACCCATTTACGCAGGAATAAGTTATAACCCTGTTATTACAGTAACCTTTTAAAAAATACTGTAATTTGACCTTTAATTTAAATACCGGTAACTTAATTAAATTACAGGTTGAATTATATTTTTATTTCATCTTATATAAGGGATTCAAACTATCACATTTAAAAATAATTACTAACCAAACAGGCATTATAAACACTAAAAAGGTATGCTAATGAAGCGCTACACTCAGGACTTGGTCATGTGGGAGGGGAGGGGGCTAAATTGATGAGGGGAGGTCGGGTCTATCACATAAGTAAACTTTAAACGTAGCCTATTCCATGAATGAATAGTTTAGGCCTAAGTTATACTTATAAATAATAGCGATTCAAAAGAATGCGAAAGGCTTTTGTATGTTAGAATGCATATAGTTTAACAACACATAACTTAAAGGCCTAAGTTTGATTGTTTATAAATTATACGAATAAGGTCCTGTACAGTTATATGTTTAATGGTTAATGCCAATGTGTTTTGTAAGTCTGACACAATTTTTGTCCTTTCCCTGGGGCTTAAGTCACTCAAGTCCCCCTAGGTACGTGCTTGGCTAAACTATGTCCATTCAAGAAGAAAGGCCTAGGCTACTTGATCATTTCGAAGACTAGCCTAAAAGCTTACACTTACATTTCGGGCAGAGTGGGTGCTTGCATCAAATAACTTCGATGAGATAACAGCAGGAATGCTGCTGAATTTAGAATATAATCGACAGGCCATTTTGAGTTCGGTTTAAAATCAGTTTAGTAGCAGTACATAAGAAAATAACATGGATATTTGCCAAACAATTTAGATTTTCACCCAGGCTTATGTTTTCTATCGCCTTGCCTTTTACATTTGTCTTCTCCTTCTCTCTCGTCTTCTGCTACACACAACACAACTCACAAACACTGTAACAAAAAACAACAAATCATCTGTAGCCTCTAGCACAAGTTGACTAGCCTAACTAAGTAAGTTGATATGAAGCTGTATTTCCTTATATTTTTTGTTCTAGGATTTTGTATGAATGGAATTCTTAATTCAAAGTGCAATAAACATCAAAACAAAAAAACTACGAATGTAGATCTTTTCAAATAAACCTGTGTGGTAAATTTTCATATTGATTCCGATGAACGTCAAAACTGTACTTTTCTAGGAGATAAACATTCAAAAGTGAACAATCTCAATGTCTTAGAATCATATCAATTCGAACTAGGTATATTTCGTACTATAGCTTAGAGTTAAGAGTAAATAATAGCTAGTATTATTTCAAAAATGCTTAGGATCAAGGGTTTGATAGCCGTCACTCTATTCCGGGACTGACTATTTTGTTGACCAGGGCCAGCAAATTCAATACATGTAGAAAACACACAATGTACACATAGAACACAAAACACATAGAATGTAGATATTTCCATGAAACTTGGAAAGAAGGTATATCCACATGTGTATTCACACGTATGTAAAATTTGGTAACGAAAAAATATTTACCTATATTATTAACAAAAAACTGGCGTAAATAGCTAATTTTATTTTGTTGACCCGGGTCAATCACCAAAAAAGGTACCTAGAATTAAACTATATACATGAAACTTGGAACGAAGGTTTATCCACTTGTATTCTACATGTATATAAATTTGGTAACGATTGAAAAATATTTACCTATTTTATTATAAAAAAACCCGCCATAAACAGCCTAGCTTATTTTATTTTGCTGACCCGGGTCAACAAATTCAATACATTTAGCAAAATAACCACTTAGAATGTAGATATTTACTTGAAACGGGGAATGAAGGTATGTCAACATGTATTCTACACGTACCTATGTAAAATTTGGTAACGATTAAAAAATATTTACCTATTTTGCTATTTACCTAATATTGTTGACCCGAGTCAACAAAATAGGGAGTCCCCTCTATTCCAAGTGGGAGACTAGCTATCCATACACACTCATTTTGGTTTTAATAAAATAAGTCAAGTAATAAAGTATAAAATTTATAATAATTAAAAGTAATTAAGGATAATAAAGGTATGACCATCCTCAAAGGCGTGAGTGTTTCTGTGTTGTTTTCATTTCGGTAGAGAGAGAGAGAGAGAGAGAGAGAGAGAGAGAGAGAGAGAGACATTTTTAATCAAAATATTTGACAGACGTCATAGGGGAATGTTGTTTTTTATCTTTTAAAAGGTGAAATTGTGTTATGTATGTACTACAGATAGTAAAGTCTCTCCAGTTCATAAATTATTTAATGGTATAGAAGTCTCCAGCATGCGTGGTGTTGTAGAAGTGGAGATGGCCATTTCTTGTGAGGCTGATAGAGCATCTGGAGTCCACAGCTCCCAAATGCATCATTCTGCAGCTATCTCGCCAACCCAACCTTGCTATTGTTCGTATGGCTCTCTTCTGGAGCATAGTAGGACTCTTTCCAGATTGGCGCAAGATGATGATTCTCCCCAGAGAGCTATGCCATACGTCATGTTACTCTCGAAGAAGGTATGCTCTTGACTCTTGCCGTTTCCAATCATTGACTATATAACACTACGTGTTATATAGTCAATGTTCCAATGTACTGGTGGCCATGATTGTTCTAATTGCGAATTATGTGCTGCTTATAACTACATGCAGAGGATATCTACATGAGGTATCATGTAAAGATGTCATCGATGGTCATCCTTCTAGGTGTGTTGTAGAACTCCATAACGATGTGATCGTTGTAGAACTCACGATGTCAAGGTTTGATAGGCCAGGAAAGTATCTTTTACCGAATGTCAGTTGCTTGGTCTTGTCTTAATTAAACACAATGTTGATGTTTTAACAGTAGTAACGCAACATTCAGGGCAATGTAAGATTTGACTTAGAGAGCTTCCAAGGACTTGTTGGAGAATACGATTACATATTTGTCTGCGTACATAAAGCACTATATTACTGACTAATTATTAACTCGGTGGTTAGATTTAAATTGTTATCAAGGAAACCAAATTTTGTCACGTTACATGTCACATTCTTTATCATTTACAATATATGTGTATTTTGTTTTTATTTTACCCTTTGTCTTTACATGTGCCTGTATTTACATTCCCGGTTATATTTTTTTTGTTAAATGTAACATTGAACTTTTTAATCAACAGTTTTCAGTTAATGACCATGAGACGGCTATGCCATAATACAAGAAATGTAGGTAGTCTCGTTGCGCATAATATTAGATTGCACAAGTATTTTAAGATGCATAAATACAAAATAGTTCTTGTTCTTCAATAGACTGCCAGCTGATGTTGTTTTCTGTTACCTAATGAGAAATTTAATGACGTTGTTATAAAATGGTTAAATAGTAAGGTTTCCTCTTTCTACAGAGTAGAAGAATTTTTAAATGCTAAAAGTATGCTTCTATTATAGACTGACTGTGATGTATTTTTGCACTGATGATGTCTATTGAAACGATCTGTTGTTTATGGCAATTAAAAGCTTCTTGATTCTTACATGTGTGTTTGTATGTAACACACTTTTAGTTCATTTAATTGCATTAAATTCATTAAAATAGTTTTTAAACTGTTATCTTGACGTTTTTATACAATATATTGTGTTTTAGCAATAAACGATTTGATTTTAAATGTTGATGTTACACACTGTCGACACTTTGGGCTTTCGGTCATCTGGGACCCAGGGGATATTTTCTTTGCTCTTGTCCTGCTTTTTAGTAAAAGCTACTTGTCACGTGACTATGTTTACTGTAGGAAGAATATTGTTAGAAGATGAAAATGGCGACAGACGAATTCTATTACTAGGAGCTGTCGTACATTATTTTCGAAGTAATAAATATTAATTATTCGTCAGTGTAATTGCTAACTATAGCTATAATGACCGAATCAAGTCGGAGTGTTTCTGAAAGTATAATTTTCAGGTGATAATAGTTTATTACATGGAGAGAGCGCACTTAAGAAGGCAAGTTGTTTAGAAATGACTAACATTAGTTCCTTGCTCTTTGCTGTGGCGTGAGAGTGACACAATATGTTGTCCCGTAGTTGAAACATTCTATTGATGATTATCTCCATAAGACATTCTTTTTGTTCCAGCAAACGACTTAAACAATATGTTAAGTTATAATGTAACCCCTTACAGTTTGATTAACAACTTTTGAGTACTGCTCTTGCACATAAAAATGAAATAGCCTAGAATGGATAGTGTAATCTTGACTGCCCTCTAATTTTATGTAACAATTACATTATTAACCCATTCAAGTTTTGATTTTATAGCCTCATAGTAGTAAAGACTTCATTTTTGTTTGCCCTATGACAATAAGACTCAACCTACTTGCTTACTTTTAAGATTTACATTCTTCATGTGAAGCCATTTGCCTATGTTATGTAGGGGAGAGAAAGCTTTATTTCTAAACAACCATCATGTAAACTCTGAGATCCTAACTTTTACTCTTAACTTGTTTGTTTTTCAAAGGAATTTTGGGTCAGCTCTGCAAACTGAGTAGGTAACTACGCATTGTATTTTGGTCAATTCATAACTTCAGTTACCTAACTTAATCAAACTGGTAGGCCTAATTGGAATTTGCAGCTTACCCTATACTAACCATTAGACATTGTTTACAACTTTTTAAGTATCACTCTTAATGATTTCACAGGCTATCAGACACACAGCTCATCATTGCTAATAAGTTAATTAATATTATGAGGGATTATCTTAGCCGCCATACCCGTGCTTCGCAATGATGAGAGAACGCGGGTACACTTCCATATCTGTTGGCACAAACAACCGAATGAGTAGGCCTAATATTGATTATTCGATTGTTTAATTCGATATATCGTTTGGTTAGTTAGATTAGGTTAACCTTACCTAACTAACCAACGATATATCTATCAATATTTTCATTCGGTTGTTTGTGCCAACAGATATGGAAGTGTACCCGAGAACGCTAAAGAGGGTAATAATTTTCTATAGATTTACTGTATGAAAAGTTATTAACTCATAAATAAGTGTCTAGCTTACAATTTTGATAAAGCACAAACAAAATCATTTTAAAACACATGGTTTATAATATATCAATTTGGCATCTAGTGTGTAAGTTAGGCCTATTCAACGGGGAAATGACATAGGAACTTTACAAGCCATCAATGGGGAGCCCTAGTAGAGTATTAAAATAAAAAATGACCATGTCCTTTAAGCCTGAGGTAGAATATTGGCTCTATTTGTAAAAAAGTCAGCTCAATTGGTCAAGTAGACGGTAGTTTTCACATTATTGACATAAGTTACCGGTACTCAAATCTTTTACATCTATGATAAGTTAGCCTATTACAGTAGTTACTGTTGAATACAGGCGGGGACACACTTGTCATACACCCTTCCGATCCGACTCCGATCATACTGTGGTACGAATGTCGGAGAGGGGAATGGTACTTAACTTTGAACGCGGTTGTTTACACCTCTCCGACACGCGTCACGTCATACTCCGATCCTACTCCGATTTTGACTCCGATCACGCACCGACACTGCAGTCTATTCGTTTGTCGGATGCAGGATGGGTTGTTTCTTAAAAATCACCTTTATTCTTAAGATTTAAGAATAATGGTTGAAGATAAATATAGATTGTAGGAAATTTTATTCTCTTTCGGAATATTACCTTCCACTTTGGTCGATTTCCTCACCATTTAAAAGTTATTTGTAAAAACGTCAAGTAACCTCCAAATTTCTAGTGGTAAAAATGTCGGAGATTACTTTTTAACTTTGTACAATTAAATCTATAGTTCTGTTGGATCGATTTTGTTAAATGATGTGTCTTTGGAAGGCATAAACTCTTTGAGTTGCTTTTTCGTTTGATGTGTATTTTATAGCGGTAAGTTTAATAGTATAAAAATTATAAAGCATTAAAAATGGGTCCATCATTTAGAATAACCCTGTATTATTCCAACCCGTAATAAGGGGCCTTAATGTAGACCTACTGCATATAGCTTAACATTTCAATATTAGAACATAGACAACATCTTTGATAAAATTGTTTTTATAACTAGCATATAGTAGTTTTGTCTCTATTTCTTAGTTTTTAATAGTTTGCATTCATGAAAAATACTTAATTTACAAATTTAAGAGATAACTTAGGCTAGACTTATTATAAGTTACTATAAAAATCTAAAACTTAGGTTGACATGTTTTATTTTTTCAGGGTTGCATAAAACTTGAAAGAGGTGCTTCGCCATGGCATCTCCAGTGGATTATCAATGGTATGTTTTTGTCTTACTGCACCTGATACTTTTCTAATTAAATTTACGGTTATAAATTTGAAATAAAAACTTCACCAATATTTTAAGAGTTTTTAATTTTATGAGGCCTTTTGCCAGCTACGGGCATTATCAGACACATCAACAAAACATAACCTTCAGTTTTGTAATGTGCCTGATGATGCCAGCATAGCCTGGCAAAAGGCCTCATAAAATTAAAAATTCTTAAAATATTGGTGAAGTTTTTATTTCAAATTTATATTTATTCCAATATTACCAGTTCTTCTTGAAGAAAATTTATGGTTATTTATCACTATCTTTCTAAAAGCATCAATGTTCAGAAGACTTTAAAGTATCTACCTAGCTAAAACTATAGCCCTAGCTACTTTTAAACCCGCATAGGTGTTTTCAATTTTAAAACACAGTTTTGAAAATAATTGGGGCAGATCAACTTATGACATTACGGCACATTCATATGCTTAAGCTTGACTTGAACTCTTTTCACAACTTTGGTGTGACAAATATTCTCTCTTGCTAATACCTCTTCAGCACTGCTGTAACTTATGTCTGCTACAGTTATTTGGTACCATTTAGTATTTTTAGAAAAATAAACTTTTGAGCTAAAACCCTGCTATACTTTACCTACTGTAATAAGTTTATGGATATCTTTTACAGGGCCTATTCCATCATGGATTCTTCACGGGTGTCCACGTTTCTCATCTCGATCCTCCTCATAGTTTATGGAAGTTTCAGGTAGGAGAACACCCGGGCATTTAGAAGTTGTGCCAAAGGCCAGAAATTTATAAATATCTGGGCATTTATTTAATTGTAAATTATAAGTTATTTTTGCAACCCGGGCACAAAATTACTCTCAGCAAAAATTGTTTTTAGTTATTGGTATTTAGCACATTAACCTAAAATTTACATAAAATAATATTTATCTATTTATTTGACCTTAACTTTTCATAAAAGACTAGAAAATGCTGTAAAATTATCTTCATTAACTTGCACTCTTTTTTTGTTTTTTTTTTTTACCGACCCTTCACTTGGCAAGTGTAACCAAAGAAATTATTTTCCTTTATATTCTTGTGATGTATTCTACCCTTTTATTCTTTTAACATTTATTTTACACATTTATAACACATGATGAATTTTCTTACATATTTATTTGCAATGGTTGTTTCCTGATATTGTTAAAAACTTATTTTACTCCGTTGATTTTTTTACAGAATTCCATCCTTGATTTGTAATAAAGTAATTTTATAAATCTTAAATTTGAATACAAACTAATGACCTGATTAAATGAATGATTATAATAATCAATTATGCTTTTTCAATGGATAGCCTATAATTTAGCCTACTTAAGGATTTTTTTTATTATTTTGAAATTAAATTTTCATGATTAACATATTTAATCTGTACTTAACATTACAAGTTTGCAACATAGACTTAGATGTATTTCAAAACTCTTTCCTTAAAATAGTTAATGTTAAAGTGCTTATCGACTTTAAGCTAAGGAGTGTAAAGAAATTGATTAATTGTTCACATAACATACACTGTACTTAAAGCCTGTGGTTAACATAAGCTCAGTGTAATTAATTGATATTTCAACCAAATAAACACACAATTATAATGTTAAATTGTTTTAAAAGAGTAGAACAATGTTTACATTTTCTAAGGTTTGTAATATTTAATGAATTTCACATTAAATCTACAAAAAACATTACATGATGAATTTCGTATGTAAGCAACATTTAAATTAGTGTTATTCTAACATGAGTTTGCTTGAAAATATTTTGTTGTATTCAAATTTATTTTGTATATTCATAACCTCAGTTTCCCCCTTTTACAAAAAAGTTTTAAGCTTATGGTTTTTTTAAGTGTTACATTTTATATGTACCCACGGTAATAAGAAAGAGTACCGGGCCCTACGATAAAGGCAATTGAAATAGTCCTTGAGATTTTTTTTGTACCTCAGGTCTTTGAACATGGAACAAGAAGCTAGAGAAAGAGAAAAGGAGAGAGAAAAGGAAAGAGCCAAAGGTCTTTTAACTGGCTTAACCACCTCTACTAGCTCAGGTTGTGACAACAGTAAGTTAACATTAAGTTTCATTATATTATACTTCCGTAAAATAACGCAGTACAGGGTGCGGCAAAAAAAAACACAATAATTTTCTGCCACACATTGTTCAGCGACAGGTCGTCTGAGAGTGGTGGGGGTAGGTTTGTTGGAAAGCCTACACAATTCATTATTTGTAGTCATAGAAGAATGATCGTCAGAGCTACGAGCGTTTGTCATCAAGTTGTTTAAAAAAAGTAATAATTCAGTCATTGCAACTCAGCGGCAGTTCCGTGCACTCTTTTAATTAGGTGGACTTGGAGAGGCTCCGTCGTAATAATCTGTCTGGATAATCAAATAATTTAAACAGATTAATTAAAATTTATTTGTAGTTTTGATTAGATTAGTGAAATTAATTAAAATTTGTTAGTTGAAAATTATCAAAATCGAACCTCAAAATTAGTGTATCTGAGCGGTCAGACATGTTCAAAGCAGCCGCTTTTTTTTGCGTGAGACAACGAGGACTATTTTCAACAGCAGCACAAACTCTATCGAATGTCAGTTGTCTGGCGTCCGATCTGACTTTGGATGGCCAGTTAGCTTCTTTTTCAACGCCGTTCTACTAGAGTTAGTAACCCACTGTGTGATTGTGCTATCGTCGGAGGAACCTCTCCATGTCGACCGAATTGGAATGCACGTAAATTCCGCTGACTAGTAGGCCTAATGGTTGAATTATTACTTTTTAAATAAGACTCAATAACAAACGTGCGTTTCTCATACAACCACTGTTTCTGACTACAGATAATGGGTGTGTGTAGGCGTTCCAACGAGCCTACCATCACCACCCTTAGATGACCTGTTGCTGAACAGTAAGCTGCAGAAAATAGATGGTTTTTCCGCACCCTGTATTTAACAATTTGTTAGAACTTAGAACCTTACATTTTATACCTAGGCCACTTTTTAGGTGGTTCAGTTTTGATTGTAATAGATACTTGTGGTCTGCTTATTATCTCATTGCAGTATAAACAGTAACTAATGAGTCATATGTCAGGAGGCAAAATCCCCTCTAAATAGCTCATGGGCAGGGTGTTGACTGTGTCGTAGGTTGTGGCAGTGTTTTGTCATGAGTGATTGAACTCTGTTTTGAGATTTTTTACTGAAGAATTAAGTGTTTATTTGTTTCAAGAAAGACACTTATTGTCCACAAAAAATTGTGTGTAAATGATCGTGATCAGAAGTGGCTATTTTTGACAACAACATGTTCAACTTAATTCCCACCTACAGCGAGAGGCACAAAAAACAACTGTTGTAGTAGACTCAGTAAGTCAATTTTTGAAGGTTCAAAACTGGACCCAGCTGTCCACCTGATCTTCGGACTTAAAATAAATTGTCCTGGCTATGAAACATCTGATCTCAGTCAGTAAAAAAGCTACACAGATCATCACTTTATTCTACACTCATCCTTCACTCGTTTTTGGGTTTAAATACCTAGCTGGCGTCCCCCCATCTCAATTGGTAAAAAATAATAATTAACTTCTGAACCATCTAATGTTGCGGCCTAATGTTTTTGGGTGTCTGTAATAAAAAAAAACCTCTAAAATTAGTTGTCTCCGTATAATACTTAAGTCTCATTTTGTTAGACGGATGATTTAAATTACCGATTTTGAAATAAATCTATGTATTATGCTCCATTATAAAGATATTATACATATTTCTAGAACGTCTCATGCTCAAAAAGTCATAAGCATATAAACAATTCATGCCGAGTATCAGAAACCTAAATACAGTTACAATCTATGAGATAAATAATTTAGTAATTGCTGGTTATCACCATGCTGTAAGTTATAGCTCAAGATTACTTGTGAATGCCTAAATGGTCAATGGTGCCTTATCACTGTCTCTGTATCACCCTTTATCTTTTTAATGGATTTATACAGATAAAGAGATTATTATTGTCACCCTAATTCCTAGGATATAACTCAGAACTCATTCAAGCCTGGTTTGCAACTGAACAAATCTCGAACAATTAACCAAATAAAGACATTTTTGACAAACTTATCTTTTTACTGAATAGCAGTTTAAAATAATTAAGTGTTAATAGTGTGTAGTTTTAATTAAAAAAATATAATTTAAACTTTTTAATGAGTAATTAGTTTTTAATTTAAAAACACAACCTACTGTACTTATCATTTATAAATTAGAGGCAAAGGGCAACTATTTTACCCCGTCACAAGTCACCAATCAATATGTAAACAGATAAATCTAATAAGGAAAAGAGTATGGGTGTTTCTCAACTTCTTCAAAATTATTTGGTGTTCTGGAACTGAGTTGTGTTATTTCACACTACATTTCAGGTACTTTAGAGCCCCTTCCCCTTCTTATGATTATGACAGATTAACAAATGTTGTTGACAATGACAGTTTTGTTTAACAAAATTGAAACTACAATGTAACACTTGTGAGTGTGTTAATTCTATTTCATCTAATAAATGACGAACCCCTAAATCGTCTAAGTGACCACCCTTATTGAAAATATGGCATTTAAGGACTTTTGGCATGAACATTATGATACAGTTAAATGACGCCAGTTAGGCATTTTATCCAAAATGTTTTAAGTTTACAATTCATAATTTTGGTATTACATTTGATTTTGATTTTTTTTCCGGTGCTACAGGCTATTAGGACTGTTGTCATTGTCATTCTTTAAATCCATAGCAATAAAGAAATGAAAATAATTTTACCTACAACCGTTTTTTAAAGTAGCAATTTCAGTTCAGTTCTTAGAATTGAAAAGTTTCACTTAACAGCATTGTTTACTTTCATAACAGCATAGTTTTACTCATAACAACACGGGTAACAGACCAATGAGGTTCAAGGATTGAGAGAGTAGAAGTCAAAATTGAAATGATTTGAACTCCAACTAATCATCTGTTCAGGCCAATTTAATTGTCGAGTGTTTTTGTTTTAATTGTTTTCATAATTTTTCAACACATCAGTTTCATGTTTTGTGTATTGCTTGGCACTTGTTGTGTATTAAACTCAAAATTATAAGTATCGTTTCTTATATTTAAAAAAATCCTTGTTAAAAGAAAAAAGCTTTTGAACAATGATGCATTATGTAATATTGCCATCTTAGGATGGGAAATACTCATATGACTTAATTTAGTTTTCGGAGGAAAGAACACTTGGCTTAGTAATACATTAGGAAGAAGGAACAAATACAAAACTGGATAGATTGGATCAACTGGATTGGATGGATATAAGACTGCCTTCATATTACTTCCTTCTGAGGAAGTCCCTTGTAGGGGCCAAATATTAAATTAATTGTGTTTTGCATTTTTTTCTGCTGTTAACTGCGTGGAACACTTTTTTTGCCAATTTAATTGTTGAGTGGTGCAATTAGTGATTGGTACGATGTTTCTTTGCATCACTGTCAGTGGCAATGAGAGGTTATAAACGAAAAACATTTAACCTCTCTTATAAGTTATGAGTAGTGATTGTTAGTAATTAAAACACTGTAGTTGGTAAAGTAGTGAATGCATCTCACGTAAATAAAGTTAACAACACTCAAAGAAGTTTTTAATGCACTCTCCAAGGCTCGTACCTTAAATTTTCTACTCGTGTGGTTAACACTTATCTTTACGCAATCGTTGCGTACACTACTATTAAAGTGAGATAGAAGAAAGAAATATACCTGCACAGCTGTAATTTGTGAACAGATGCATAGAAAAATTGTCAAGGACTATGCTCTCAGTAGCAAATATTATAATATCAGATATCCCTCTTAAAAAATAGAACATAAAATATTTTATATTTATAATAGATGCGGACTTGTTCTACGGGTAGTAGATGAGAACTTTTCTTGATTAGACATCCATTTGACTGCAGCTTATACTAAATACTTACAGAGGTTTTTAGAAAGTAGTAAACTTGTTCAATACAATAGCCTACTTAAATTAGTCATTTTACATTGGATATAGGCTAAACTATTTTTTCCACACTACTCAGTAAGCAGCTGGTTTTTGTACCCTCTTTAGACCAGAAAGTCGTTTACGGAATGGGACCAGTAAAGTCAGTTGGAGTACACTAAACTTGCCAGGTGGTATTGCAATAGGCTTTAAACGATGTTACCTCCCCTCTGCGTAATAGACTCGCCCACTGCAACAATGCAAAAGTTTGAATAACTTCCATTGACAACCGCCATAGTGTAGAGTCTTGTAATAATTTACGAATTAATTTATTACAGAAGATGCATTACAATTTCTAAGAGTGTGAAATGCCACATTTAGTCAAAAGGCATTAACTCAAATCTGCTGCCTGATGAATCCAAAATCAGTTATGAGTTCAAGTATTCTATGTTTTCAAAACGATTGAAATTGTGGTGTTATGTAAGTCTACATGTCCAAATGAGCAATAACAACAAAATTGTAAAAACTTGGTGCTCGTAGTGTGACAGAAAGTATTGTACGCATCTCACCCAGGAAGGTGTTTACGGTACTCACATGAAATCCCATGCCCGGCAAGCCATGCTAGGGACGGCTCGTAACGTAAACACATATACTTCCTTGCCTTGTAGCATATTGTTATACTATTACATACATTACTTTGTTTCAGATGTTCAAACTTTAGACACAATGCAAGCTTTGTGCTTACCACTTGGAGCTTCCATCTCTCTTCTTGTAATGTTCTTCTTTTTTGATTCAATGCAGATGCTGTTCGCAATATGCACAGCAAGTAAGTATATGTCTAGATAGGAGTACAATCCAGGGAACGTATAGGAAGCTATTTAATTTGAGAAAGTATAATTTTTGTTTTTTTAACTGAGGATGTTAGTGCAGGGAAGATGTGTATAAAGGTGCATGCATTATAAAACTAATGTTTTGTCCATGGGAAGGACTTTTTCAGAGAAAGGAATTGTGAAAAATTTTAGTTAAAATTTAAAACTGTTGTAATCCTACTGTTGCCAACTAGGTCACCATGATGTACAATGTAGCCTATTGTTACTATCTTAATTTTTACTAGGTTTTAAATTACCATAAATTGAAGACTAGGCTACTTGTACTTTTACATAAAGATTGGTTTTAGATTTTAGTCTCAGCTTTTATTTGGGTTAAAACTAAACACTATTTAGGTAAAAATTTATGGTAATCATTAAATTATAATTTTTTACTGTTGATAAGTATTAAATATTTGACAAAAGTAAGATGGTCCAACGATTATTTAGGCTAGTTGAATCACGTTTTGTAGAATACATTTTTAAGGCTTGCAACTTTGTCAAACACATAATTAAGATATATGCACAACACAAACATAAAAATAGAACTTGCGAAAAAAAATTTAGACAGTGCTACCATGCTTGTGGGTCTAGTGCAGCATGGAGTCAGTAACAGTCATGATTTGCTATTTAAATGTTTATATATACATTCTACTTTTGTATATTATGTGTGTCTTAATTATGTGTGAGGACGTAGTTGTAGCTTTAAAAATGTTGCTTTCACAAAAAAAAAAAAAACATGCAAACTGATTCAACTGATTGTTTATCAATCTTTGAACTTGTCGATGAAGGTAATGTAAAACGTGTGGAAGGTAATGTAAACACTGTTGTCACTTGCTTTTACATTACCTTAAACTAAACCTCTCCACCGATGTACAATATATAAATAAGTGCTATAGGTGGTAATAAACAGGCATAAATTAATTTTTGATATCTTATTTACACGTTCAAAATTTATAGTAATCAATAAATTTGTTTTCAGTAATTGCCACAGTGGCATTGGCATTTCTCCTTCTACCAATGTGTCAGTACATCATACGACCCTGCTCAGATGGAAATAAGTAAGTTGCCATTAACATCTTTTACTGAGTTAGTTGAACCGGTAGAAATAATGTTTACTGTATACCGTAATTAGATTCGTAAGTTATAAAAGCCATATCATGTATCCACCATATATAGGTCTTTGAGACTGATTATGCACAATCGGGGTTTGAAATTTATTTTCATAACAAAAGTAGACCTTTGCACACACAATTCTATTTTGTTATTGCGATAAGGATATGAGCAGAAGTCTCTTGGTTCTTAGATAATATTAGCTAAACCCACCAATTTCGAAATTCAGAGTTGATAAACCAACCTTTGTTTTTGTTTGTGCTGTGTTAGTTAATCGAGGTAAATAAAAAAAGGGAGTGATCTATTACGTACCATAAGACATTTACTCTTTATTGCATTTTAGTAAAAAGAGGGTCAGCTTTTTTTTTCTTTTCTGTATAACTTTTTCTCAGGTGTGGTTAGTTTCATGCCAATAAATCAAATATCTTCCAAATTGCAATGCATGTATTAAATATAACTTCAAAATTTCAAGTCCACTGGCTCTAACAACAAGAGCGGCAGATTGTTGAATCAGGGTATCGACTAAGGATTAGAGTCTCTAATTCAACAGTATTGTATTGCAATGATTATTGTTTCAGAATATCATTCGGCATTTGTGGTCGTTTCACCGGTGCTGAGTTATTCTCATTCTCCCTTGCTTTGTTCATCGTTTGCATCTGGGTGCTGACAGGCCATTGGCTCCTCATGGACGGTAATTTAGAAATTTTAAGAATTTCACAAACTTAAAACTAAAATGTATATATTTTGTAAAACTTTGGTTTGCTTCATTCAAGATATCGTTTTATGCAATATGAATATACCTTTTGCCATTTAGTGGGGTATTGTTTCTCAAACACTTATTTACCCTACAGTAATCAAAGTAGTAATAGTTACTGTATTGTAAATAAGCTTAACAATATCCTTGTTTTGTACATTACTGTCGATCACTCCATTAGTCACAATGTCTCTAAACATCCTGCAAGCTCTTCCACTGTTGTCATGTTCGGGTTTCAAGTTCTATGCTCAAGTTTAGATACTGTTTACATTGCGAACGTAAAGCAACAATGTTGTCTTCAAAGTGTTGACGAGCAGTAGCCTATGGGTTATGAATGTTCTTCTTATATGGTTTGATACTAATATTGATTTTGTTTGTCTTGTACAGCAATGGGCATGGGATTGTGTGTAGCATTTATTGCATTTGTCCGCCTGCCGAGCCTCAAAGTGTCAACATTGCTACTCACAGGACTACTCATATATGATGTATTCTGGGTCTTCTTCTCATCATACATATTCAACACTAACGTCATGGTCAAGGTATGCTAATCCTTCAACTTGTCAAATAAAATTTGTTACACCACATGTACGTGAATAAGGTTTACAATAATTCCCCTCTCTTATGCCATCTGTGGTATTCCAAATTTCATCTCGTGTTCATTGATTGTTTTGGGTTGTTAAAAGCTTAATCGTATTAGCAAATGTCTAAACTAAAATTGTAGAATCTCAATGAGATGTGAATATTACTTTAAAGTAGTTTTATTTTATAAACTTAACAAATTGCTGAAATGGAAGTGACAAATTCCGAGATATTGCACTTATGTTTTTTTATCATATGATGATTTTGTAATAAGATACATCATAGTATAGCTGTGACACTTATGTAGGGCGCGGCCAGTCTAGGGGTTAGAGGTTCTAGTGAAATCCTGCCAATCACCCAGTGGTTTGAAGCTTCAGGTTCACTAAGAGATAGGTGTCTCAGGCAGAAAGAACTAAGTGAATACACTTTCAGGTCGCCACGCGGCCAGCTGAAAATCCAGTCGGACTTGTGGCCCGCAAACTACATATTGGTGGAGTTGTGAAGGAGGCTCCCAAACTCTCTTTGCCAGGAAAACTTGTTTTTCCTAGTCTACACAATAGTGGACACTTCTCAATGCTTGGACTCGGAGATATTGTAAGTGCACTGTCTTACGAGGCTGAAAGAATTAACTTCCTCCAAATTATATATAATCATAATTTTGGTTTAAGTATTTAGCTTTTTAATGATGAGAAAGAATCCACAAGATAATCCAAAAACATTCTCTATTGAAAGAGAGCTAAAATTTAAGTCAAATGGATTATCGACCTGACAAAAAATATAAATCGAACCTTAATATCAAATCTTTTGATATTAATGGGCGATAAGCGTCCATATATTACCAATAACTTCTTGATTAGCATCGTACGTGTTATTAATTACCTGAAAAATACAGAAATATATTACGTCTAATAACACTTGCAATAATATATTTACACTTATACTGTTGACTTACAAGACGGTAAATGCATGTAAAAGTTGGTAAGTGGTGATCGATTTCGATTGGCATCTACAAAATAAATTGTAACGATTGTGATCATGTTTATATTGGACAAACTGTAAACTTTATTAAACGATTCAAAAACCACACATGGAGAAACAACAAACCGGAAAGATCAAATTTCGCACAGCACTTGTTACAAAATGGCCACTCATTAGGAAAAATTGAAGACAATGTATGTATTTTAAAGAATTGTAAGAAGGGAAATGTGATGGATGCTTGGGAAGGATTGTATATTTATAAGGAAAAATGTAAAAATAGAAATAAGCTCATCAATGAACAAGTAAATTTTGACTCCAGTTGTACTTATAGAAACTTATTGGCCGGTACTTCCGGTAACCAATAGTATATAAGGGAACGCCATTTTGATTCTTTTCATTCGCCGATTGGGTCTGATGATGATTGGAGTGTCCAATCGAAATCGATCACCACTTACCAACTTTTACATGTATTTACCGTCTTGTAAGTCAACAGTATAAGTGTAAATATATTATTGCAAGTGTTATTAACCGTAATATATTTCTGTATTTTTCATATATTACCAAACACTTTTTTAAATCCCTTTGAAATGGAATCTTTATTTGGAACCTTTAGGGAAACCATAATTTGGAACATTTCCTAAAAAAAAGTGTAAATGTATCACTTAAGATCCTTTCAATCTAGATTTTTTTAAGTAGGCCTATTTTAATCTAACTAAGTTTCCTTGCAGCTGTGTAACTAACTAGTGTAGCTTGAAATTTGGTTTCAATCCGTCTTTGACTTGGTAAATTTACTAAAAATCAAAGAATACTGGCAATTTATTAAAAATGTTGTTTGCCAATAGTATCTTTTTCCCAATATATGGTCATAATATTGACTTACTAAATTACTCATTGTTTCTAACAGGCTAATGCTGTTGCATTCTTTATGCACTATACCCTCACTCATTAACCATTCTTATAACAATTAGTAATAAATATAATAAAAGGATTAGCTTATTTAGCTGCATTATTATTTTTCAGGTAATGCCAGGACTGTTGTTATGCTTTGTACTTAGATATGACGCATATAAAAAATCTCAGTTGTTACACCTGGGAGAAACTGGAGTACCACCACCCAAACACCTAAACAAATTAAGGTCAGTACCAATGATTATGAATGACCATGGCCATTTGGCCAGAGGTATTTCAGATTTTAATAAGAGTAGATGGTTGCAGATTTTGTTGATAATACAGTGTAACCTTGATATAACAAATCTCAAGGAACAAAAGCAAAAAATTGTTGTAGCGAGTGTTTTATTAGTGCGTTCGTACTCTGCAGGTTTGTTACGGCAACAGTATTTTTATCTGTAATTTATTGATGACAATTAAGTTAATTATTTTGATTCTTGATAAAAAAATGTGTGTCCTTGGACAGCCTAAAGTCAGCTCCAATGTAAGTTAGAATTAATTTCTGCTGCACTTAATTTTGATTGCCCTTTAATACGTCATACATCTAAAAAATTATTTTTCCTTCAACTTGAGGATATCTGTAACGACTTATTGGACCTCACCATGTACAAGAGCTAGAAGCAACCTTAAAAATATAGCATACCCTATATTATCCTACAAGTCTGTTAGTGTATTTTTTGTGGTTGCAGTTACTTCCACTGCTCGTTGATTGGCTATTTCCTGGGATTGCTGACGGCGACAGTGTCGTCCGAGGTGTTCAAGGCAGCTCAGCCTGCGTTGCTGTACCTTGTACCCTTCACCCTCCTGCCTCTGCTCACCATGGCTTATCTCAAGGTCAGTGATAACACTTCTTAGGACCATACCAAGTGGAATCTTGATCACCTCAAAAATTTGTATTTTGCTCTATTTACTGTAGATTTTAGCTTTGTCACAATTTGTTAATATGTAGTATACAGTGTATCAATGTAAATTAAATCGTTCGATGTGTAATTCATTTATAGAAGAATTTCCGTTACTGTCTTGGTGCCTTGGGTTTTTTAGGTAATAGAGGTTTTACGTCGGTTAAAATATATTATTAATAAAATCTCATATGAAAAGAAAAACTATTTACACAAAGTGGATTATATGTATTTGTAAGGAAAATCATTGGAACAATTTATTTACAGTAGAACCTCGATTATCTGGGGTAATGGGGGGGAGGGACACCTCGGATAACTTAAAACCACGGTTAATCTAACACGCTATAAACATGTATTTCGAAATAGTGATGGGCCGGCCGACAGTGATGTCAGTCTGTTAGAGTCAATGCAAGATTGTCAGTCTATGAGTAGGGATGGACGAGATTGGATTTTTAGTTCGAGACGAGACGAGACGAGATTTTTTATTTCTCATAAAATTTTGAGACGAGATCGAGACGGGATTTCCCTTCTCATACACAACGGGAAATGCACAATTGCAAATTTTTACCTGATTTTGTAACATTGTTAGATGACTGTTTAAATACAAAAATAATGATAATAGGCAAGAATATTTACAATCTTTTATTAAAAAAACATCAGCATAAAATTTTTTTATTAATCACGCCTATCTTATTAAAAATGCCTACGATTAGGAAACATAGTGATATCAGTTAGGATAGAGTTCAACTTATCCTAAAATAAAATAAATCATAAAATAAAAGCAATATTAATTACTGCTAAGTTACTTGTTTTGACTTTTTATAGTAATAAAACATTCCTCACACTGCTTACACTTTGCAAAACTTCTCAAATGTTTTTAAAGTAATATTATTAAAATAATTAAAGTAATATTTACATTTAAAGAATTAATTAAATAAGAACGCCTTCACAAAGGAAACGCAACTACAACACGCTCCTGTATTGCGGGTATTGCATTGACTTTCTGCAGGCGTTTTTAATTTTTTTTTTTTTTTTTTTTTTTTTTTTTTAATTCCCGTCTCGGTAAAAATCTCGGCCAAAAAGAAATCTCGTCTCGTGTAACGAGATTTAAAATTTCCCGGAAATTTCCCGAAATTTTGAGACTTGACCATCCCTATCTATGAGTGTCAGTGCAAGATTGTCAGTCTGTCAGTGCAAGGATAGCTTGACCTTGAAGCTATTGATGTATATTTCTCTGTCTTGCTTCCATTTTATTTTTTTCAAATGAACTGTGATGTTTCAAACACAATAATGGGGAAACCTAACTGCATATAAAAATGGCCAGAAATTTAAATGTATAGTTCATTTCAAAATATTAGACTGAAAAAACACAATTTATCAAATGTTTTTGGGGATTTTTAAGCTTATGTAACATAATTTAAGAGGCATCAATTTGACCATGGTTGATCCGCCGCCCGGTTGATCGAGGTTCTACTGTATTTAACTAATTATTTAAAAAAATTAATTTAAGATGTAGTAAACCAAGTTTTTTGTGTGTATTTGGAAAACGTTTTAAATACAATGAATTAATTTCCATCCTGTTAAAATCCCAATCATTTTGGAAGGATGCAGCCCATTTAATATTGCTGGATGCCAGGGTTCCAAACTTGAATGATTTAACGTATTAGAAAAATCCCTGCACCAAATTACAAAAATTGTTTAGTATTTAAATGTTAATGTGTTACATTGGTTTTGTGTTTCCAGGGTGATCTGAGACGAATGTGGAGTGAACCTTTTATCATTCATCCACCCTCCAAACACCTAGAAGTCTGACTAAAGTATTGGCCAGTTATTTTAAAGTAAGTCACATATAGGATACTTTATTTTAAGATTTATACTCTTAAACAATTTTTCCTACGGTTCACATTCACCGTTGAGGATATTTGTAATTATTAAAAAAATTTCAAAATTGTCTCATGAAAAAGATTTTCTTTAAAATGTAGTCATTTATTTATGTCAACATCTTTTTTAAATAATACAATCACTAGCTTTTTTATGGTTCAAAGCTGGACTCAACTGTCATTGTCTAAATTGTATGTACGCTAACTAGTGTCAATTGGGCTTGAGATAAATGATCCTGGCTAATGATCGCAAGCTTCACCTTATTCATTCAGCACTCATGCTTCACACATCTTTGTCATAAAATTTGCATCCTTGCGTGTCGGTGTCGTATCTATCTGATCTAAATGTCTTCTTTAATTGTTGACAGGTTGGCATAAACACATGTGACACTAGTCGAAGCACATGTGTGGGCTGCTCATACTACTGCCACCTAAATACTCCACTTTGTTTTGTATACTCTTTTTATATTTATATATAATGATTAGTAATATTGGCTGTGGCTCATCTACATGCATTTAAATGTTATAAGTTGCTTGAACTTCCTACGAGTGTAATGGAGCTTCCTTCACTCTGAGTCTGTCAGTTTCTTTTTTCATTTGCAAGTTTTAACTTTTTTTACTGAATGTACTAACATCTCTTTGTCTCATTTAAGTTTCTGAGCATTTCGCATGTCTGCTGTGCCGGTTGTGTGTCATTGTAAAATATGTGTAAATTAAGCTTAGTAATTTTCTACGAATATTGTGTCGATTGAAATTTCATTAAGTTGACTCTCATGCGGCTCACTTATTTAGTAAATCACAAAACTTGTGGAACAGAATTTTGTTTTATAGCTTTTCTATTTGTAGTGTTTAGCTAGTATGATGATTATTTTAATTTTCCAAACATAGCTGATTTAGCATATTTTGTTTTAGTACTTACTTTTCTAACTAGGATTTGTTAACAGTTTTGTATTAAATCTTTTCTTTGGTTCCCTCAATTTGTAATTTTATGGCTTTTTGACAATGTCATTTTGAATCCGCTGTTTAAATACAGTGTATTTAAAGAGATGCAGATATTTTAAGGGGTTAGGAGAGTTTTTGCATTGAAAACTTTTAGGACCCAATCCAATTAACTGATCTTCAAATAAATTTTGGATTGATTTTAGATAATCAATCCATTTTTTTAAAACTGTGCTGATATTATTTTCTTGTCTGAAAATGTTCATATACTGTTCACTGTCAATTTAGTTAAACACACATATACTAGATTAAAAAGCTGTGCAAACTGAATATTTTGTATGAGGTTGCAAAAGCTCTCTTTAAAAAGCTCCTACCGTTAATACATGTTATTTTTAAGTCTATATCTTGAATTAAACAAGGTTTTATAAACACTTCTACCTTATAGGCACACCAAGCCTTTCAGCATAGAACAGTTCTTTTTTGAATGCTACTATTTCTGTATCGAATTGTTGAAAATCTGACATAGTCAAAATAACTTGTTTTGGTTGCTATCCAAATTTTATGGGCCTGATAATATGCCAGTTATTCCTTTCCTTGTCTTTTCAGTTGCCTATCATCAGGTCTCAGAATGAACCAACTTTCTCTAAAGAGTACATGATTTTTATAATCACTAAATATTAAATAGTTAACACCTTGATGGTTATCCTATTTCATAATTGAAATAAGAAATAAACGTGTTGTTAATAAAACTACTTTTTGTAGGATTTGGAAATGAGTTAGTGTTCTTTCACAAGATAATTATTTCACTTTGTACATAAAATCACCAAGGCATACTCTTTCTTTTGAGGCTTTGTCATAAAGAAACATTCATGAAAAGTCCTAAACTGATATAGTACAAAGTTGGTTGCATTTTTCATAATTTTTCAACATATCAGTTTCATGTTTTGTGTATTGCTTGGTGCCTGTTGTGTATAGTTGTCTCCAAATTATAAGTATTGTTTCTAATATTTAAAAAATCCTTGTTAGATGAAACAAAACTAGTAGGGATTAAAATCACGATAAGCACATGGATAGGAAAATCTCAGCTCTTTGGAAGGCAGTCAACATTTTTTCCAACAAAAAAAATTATTTGAAATTAGTTAAAAGAATCAAATCTGTCCTTTGGATATTATGAAAACAAATTTGATTTGAACAATGATGCCTTATGTAATATTGCCATCTTAGGATGGGAAATACTCATATTACAGTCCAACCTCGGTATAACGAATCTGCAGGGGCCGAACTGAATATTCGTTATATCAAGGATTTCGTTAAAACGAGGTTTGTTATATTGAGGTTAGGTTTGCAGCAATTTTGCTTAGTCGTGGTTCAGAACCAGCGTCGGTCAATATAGGTTGGGATTTGACCTCATTAAAACACAATTAACATAGCATAGGCTACAATACTTTACAGTACAGTGTTAACATTGTAAAGTAGAACCACAATTATCTGGAGTAATAAAGGGGTGGGATCTTTAATATTGAACAATCATGGCATTTCTAGTCATTGACCTTGGTACAGGTTACAAACTGTAAGTTTAACATCACAGCTTAATTTAACCCTCCTAAAACCTAGCCAAACACTGCATGTATTGTATAGTCATAAACCACGTAATATCAACAAAAAAAACCGTATAGAGTTTTGTAAGCTACTGCTCGTGATATGCTGGTAGGCTACTTACAGTACAGTACTGATTTATCACAACAGAGGAATCTCAATAATAATCATCAGCTATAGCATTGGTGTTGCTAGTTGAAACAAATCGTAATGAAAACAATAAAAATATTAGATAAGTCATTATAAAAGTGTATAATCATAGAAGAATGTTAAGATAACGATGTTGCTATTCTTTCTCTTTGCTTTTGTTTTTATATTCATTCTTAGGCACTTCTCTTTATTCAAAAATTGTACAAGTCACCATAGTTAGGCACTTATCGCCCAATCACAGCTTACTAAACATTAAGTCGTCTACAGTCCTCTCCTCAGTGAATTAAATCAAATCAGTCCTCAGTATGTCACATAGCGTGCAGCGACAGCAGCAACAGATAAAGATGTGTAAAACGGAGCAGACGAATGTTAGCGCAAGCAATGACGTCACCTTTCGATTTCATTTGATAAAGAAACAGATTTTCCAAAAACAATAATGGGGTGGGGGGTTTGTTATATCGAGGGAAAGATGTAGACAGTTTGTTAAGCAGAGGTTAAATTCGCTATGTAGAGGTTCTGACAATGATAAATTCGTTATATTGAGGTGTCTTATTTTAGCCGAAATCACAAAAAATTTGTTAAATCAAAGTCGTTGTTATGGTTTGTTTGTTATGTAGAGGTAAAATATACATTGTGTCTTATGGAGAGTTCTAGGGGATTAAAAAAAAATTTGTTATATCAAGGAATTCGTTATATCGAGGTTCGTTATATCAAGGTTAGACTGTACTTAATTTAGTTTTCGGAGGAAAGAACACTTGGCTTAGGAATACATTAAAGAAGAAGGAATGGATACAAAACTGGATAGATTGGATCAACTGGATGGATACAAGACTGCCTTTGTATTACTTCCTTCTGAGGAAGTCTGTTGTAGGGGCTAAATATCAAATTAATTGTGTTATAAAATTTCTTCTGCGGTTAACTGCGTGGAACGCTTTTCTTGGATAGGTTAGTGGTGTATTCATTCCTTCTTCCTTAATTTATATACATCCTTACTTTATTTTTCCATCATTCCAATAAGTGTTGCTAAATAAATCTTGCTAAATATTAGGTAAACTACAGGTGTGCGATGCATAAAAAATCATCCAAATTGTGATTTGATACAAGGAATCTTCCATTCTGTCAGATCAGTTCTGATTTTGTTGTGAAGTTGTAAAAAGAACACATATATTCCAACGATTCCGATTCCTGGTGTAAACATACAGGGTGACCAACTTACCTGTGCCACCATTGGTGTCTCCGAAACTATTACAGTTACAGTAGAGAAAACATTAAATGGAGAACTTCAATAATTTTTTAAGACATTAAAAAACATGAATTATTCCACTTTTTCAAAAATTACCACCATTGGAAGCTAACTTTGAAATTCTTATGAAACACCCTATATTTTATGATGGTTTTAGAATGTAAACATGATTTAAAAACTTTTTTCTTGAAAGTTTCTTTCTAAAGTGTGTATGATATTGCAGTGTGTTAAACTTAAAAAGAAAAAAAAATACTTGTGGTGTACATTCTGCATCCTGCAGCTCATTACAAGTAAGTTTGGATAGGAAATGCCAAGAATAAATAAATAAGTCTTAAAATTGCATCTAGATTCCAAAAAGATCACAAAATACATTAACAATTTAAATTCCCTTGTTTTATAAATGGCTGCCATCTTCCTATATGGCGACTAACTTTAAAATTGTAAAACTCTTTATTTTATGGTATAATCTACAAAAACAAGATAAGTTTTGGTCCATTATTTATACAAACTTTTAAAATACCACCAGCATATAAAGTAAAATAGGTAAACTAATATTATGCTCGATTTTAGCGTTGGATTTTATGTTGTAACCTGTTTTATCAAGTAGCCTTAATTTTAGTATTATTAGATCTAATTCACTCAAATTTTCACTACTCAAGGGTTTTGATTGTAAAAACAATGCAACATGAGTGAATCTATTTTTTTCTTAGACAGTCAAAACCCAATTTGTCATGGACAAAAATCGTATAATAATAATGCAAAGATCTTATTTTACTTCCATGAATAGGTGTTAAAATCTTTATGTTGTGATTTGGCGCTGGAATACTTTGTGGAACCTATTATGTGATTATACCTATTATTTGTTTTCTCCTGATTCAATACCTTGTATCTATTAATGAACAAATATTTGTAATTATATACGTATACAAGGTTTTTGTTAGATATTAAAACTCATATTTCATATTTTAAATCATACCTTTACAGGAATTTCAGTGAATTTATTACTGTTTTCTACCTCATTAAAAAGTGATTAATTCACCCTCCCTGTACTGTATGTGTTACACATCATCCTATCAAATGTTCATATTATCTACCAGTATGTTTTGTTTGATTATAATCAACAGTCTATCATTTCACACATAAGACTTTCATTAAAACCACTTGTGATATTCATTATATGTAAAAGTTAATTTAGTTTTTATGTGAATCTTTCAAATGTAAACAACATGTTTTTTACATGTTTCATATCGGATGGATTTATTTACATTATCCTTTACTTTCCGAGGTAAAATTGTACAAAGTAATTTTTACGGTTGTATATATTTGGATTTAACAACCTCTGTACAGTAATGGGACATGTCATCTTTCTACGATAATTATTTTATATAACATTGTACTTGTGTATTGTATGTAGTTTGTAATGTCAGATTTTAATCCACCCTGTCAGTTGATTGTTTGTATGGCCGATGTTGAAAATAAAGTATACTTAGGCTGGGCTGATGATTGGGATCAAGTCCTTGACATTACAACAGGGTAACACATCAAGAAAGCCCAAAAACATCTTAAAACTTGTATTATTCCTGCTCTGTGAATATTAACAGGCCTCATTGACATGTTTCAAATGGGAAGAATACAGGAGACTCAATGTGTATTTACTTGAATAGAAATGCAAACTGCTTTTGACATTAAAATGTTAAAATCATTAGCTTACACGTTAGCTATTAAAATTAAATTAATGTTTACAATTTTTTTAAGTATGATGATCAATACCACATCTCAAATTGGTATTTAAAATTCAAATTCTTTATTCATGAATAAACATCTTAAAAAGTACAACGTACAAGGATAGGAGTGAGGTCATAATCAAAATTTAAAAAGACCTTTTACTGTCTTTAATTTAAAAAGGCCTATATAAATAATTTGAAAGATTATTGACTAATATTAGCTCAATGTATTTGTGAAGCAATATTCAAGTCTGTTTCAGTGTTTCAGTTCTTATAAAATGTGGATTCCAAGGCAAGGAGTCTTGCAGATTAATAATAATAAATAACAATGTTAAATGATTTCCCAAACACTGCATCTTCCCATGTTGAAACACACATTGGCCAAGGCTGTCCGTATGTTTTGTTTGATCATATGATATTGAATCTCCTCACATATTAAAGTTGCAAAAGATCTATGTTAAATTTATTTATCATACTGTTTCCTATCCTCATCTTATCCTGTGTTTATTTTCAAATTCTACCAAAAGTTCTATTTAAGATTTTTTTAGAATTTTGAGCTATTTCTACTTTAATACAATCCCACCTCTTAAATTTAAAAATGATGTCAACAAATCACTTTCTCCTCAGAAACCATGGGCAGCTCTAGTAAGGACCTTTATGCAAAAGGTAGTAGTGTGAACATCCTAAATGGTCTGTCGGTTGTAGTGATTTTGTAGCTAAATGGGTTTTATTGTAACTGTAGATAAAAGTAAATATAAAATTTTAAAGATAATAAATATATTGTTATATGAGGTTAATGCATTAACTAAGCTGTGAAGAATGTACATAGTCGTTTGTCTCGATTTATTGTACATAACTATGGATTGTGTTTCTTAAGGCATAATAATTCACAATTCAACTTTGATATTTGTTTTTTGATCTGTTTTGTTACTTTATAATGCTGTTAGTGTCTTATTTGCCTTAACTTCTGTCTTTTTCATTTGTCCTTAACTTAACGAATCTGCAATCTATACAGCTTTATAATCTATTACAGTTATAATACTGTGATATCTGTTATTGATTTATTTGATATTTTATGTGAATGTTGAAGGATGGAGCTTATTTTGATCAAACTTGAATCTTTAGTTTTATCACATTATCATTGTATGGATGTTTTTTTTTTATTTCTGTAACCTAGATGCCTGTGATTAGCTACCCTTTTCATCATTTTTTTTTTTAATTTAGGAGTGTGTACCTTATATTTTTTGACATTTTTAAAAATATATGTTGTTTTACAGATATCTGTTTTTCAAACAAAGTACATATTTTTGGCGCTCAAATGCAAAATGCAAAGTTTGAAACTAAGTTTCTATTGTATTTATCATTGATCTGTATCCTAAAGTTGTATTATTCTCTCATCAATAATATAGTTTTAATATTTTTTAATCAGTTTGTATTTCATTGCATTAATAAAATAGTTATGGTGAATATGCCTAACAGAGTGTTTTTTTAGCCTATTAATTTCCTGTATAACTGTTATAGAAGACAAAAATCTAAAATAAGCAAACAATACCATGAAGTTATCGATAGTGCTTGTCTCCCGATAGCACTTGAAAACTGTTGATGTTGACAAATTTTGTATTGTGTTATTTTTAGAATGATTTTGGAGTGACTTATTTTGGCTATGTTTACACTTTACAGCAGTAAAACATGTCTCACACTGCTTGAAACACTAACAAAACATCATCATTTGCTATATAAAAAAATTATAAAACAAATAAAGCAGTATTTCCATGTAAAGAATTAATAACTTAAACGCCTTCACAAAGGAAACATAACATCAACACGCTCCTGTATTGGGAGCATTGACTTTCTGCAGGCGTTTTTTTTTTATCTAGTCTCGAAAGAATTTTGACCAAGATAGAATCTTGTTTTGTAGAGCGAGATTTAAAATTTCCTGAAATTTCGAGACCCGTCCATCCCTAATCTACCTGCAAAGAGTCCACTGTTAATTGTTTATGTTAGGTGTGCTTTTCCCATCAACATATGTCAAAAAAGTGAACTCATTAGGTAACACACCAGCCATGCCAGACATGGGATTTGAACCCTCAAGCTTCAGTGCCGTATCCTGGCTAAACCACTCGGCTACTGATCAGTCCTAGCAGTTTACCCCACAACACTTGTCAACCAAAAGCCTAAAATTGCCTCCCAAACCGCAGCACAAGTGGTCAGTTAAAACTTGCAACTGTTTATGCTTAGTTATACATGCGGTGATAGTTAGTTGTATGTATATGGAAGATTTGTTATTCTAAGTGCTGCGTTTAAAATGCAGACCTTTGGACAAAGGTTAAAGATAAAAGTTGATCCCAATGTGGTTAAAGAAAAAATGTGTTCTCCTTATCAAACATAGTAATCCACCTCAATAATCCGTTGTGGAACTACCTAATTTTTTTACTTGGAATGTTAAATGAGAAATAAAGTCATATGAATGTATTTGGTTGTTACAAGGAGTTTTATTTAATTATTTTACTAACTAGTAATATGTAAACCAAAACAAGTTTTAAAGTAATATATTTTTATTACAGTGACAAAACAAAATGATTTAGTTTAGTCAATGTCTAATTTTCTAAAAGACCTGCGCATACTTTGTGATCTCTTCAATTTTCTTGTGCTTTGTCTCAGTGACTCATTGCAACGGAAGAATCGTTCATCTGAGAAGAAGAAATCTTGCTGGTTAATAAAGTTGTCAATGAACTGAGCTGTAACAAAAAGGATAATTTTAAGTAGGGGTTGTCTGTGACAATTCACAGTTAAGGTCTTCAGCCAGCTCCCGTCACAGCTAAAAGTGAGCTAGTTTAAACCTGAGACCAATGCTGTGTTATTTACTTCATCCACTACTATATATTAACCATTAGTCTCTTGTCACAGTAGAAGAAAACAACATGATAAAAAATCAACACTCCCACTAAGTATGAATTGTGTATAGTGATCGATGTGTAAAAGGCATCAACCGCTATTGAAATCCATCATCAGTAGAAAAACGAATGTAGAAAATGTGCATAATGGGTGGAGGGAGTTTGGTGTTTGGTCATAAACATTTGTACGGAATAGACAGGCTGCCGTTGTTTAGATAAATAAAATAAATAAATAAATATATCTTTATTGTCACATAACGTTTTCCACATTACATAGCAACAGCTACAAAAACAGGTGACATTGTCAACGTAATCATAAGTACCTAAAATACTAAAAATACTTGATTCGTAGAAATAATTTTTTGCGTTATTTTTATTTCATAAAACTTAGTATTCTAATTTAAAAATTACCTTTGAGAATTACAGTAAACCTTGGTAGTCTTAAACTTACTGATCAGCAAGCAAAGTTAGTTTCTTCAACTTTTATTGGAAACTGATGAACCCCGGCTGCTGGCCTTATTGTGCAAATGTTTTAACCCTATCACAGAATGTGATTTATACTTAGTGAGAGCATCATCGATTTCTACTACAAAACAAAAATAATTGTAGCATAGGGGTGGGAACTAGCTGGAATTTTAGTGAATGAAATAGAAGAATTGAACATGCTCGCTTGGTTGCGACAGGAGCTCGATGAAGATCTTAATTTACAGACAGCCCTAGGAAATACATATCCTGAACAGTCAACATTTCACCAAAATATTTCAAATAACGGTTAAAAAATTCACCAGTCATCCTCAGAAATCGAGGTGTGCAAATATATCTAATTTTCATAATACTTTGAAAAAGGTTAGGCCTACTCTCAATACATGCAATGTCATGCAGTACTTGTTAGCGAATTTCCCTATAGGGAAGTAGCTACTACCATAGATGGCACAGTAAGACCTAAACCTGGGGCCGATTTACTTTTTCATTTTGTTGTCTCTAGAGGCCAATAACTTTTCTATCCCTTAAGAGGGACAGCCTAAGAGGAGCCAGACAAAATTCTTAAATAGCAGCATAGGTTGAGTTTCATATCTAGTTTAAAGGACTTAGTTAGTAGAGCATGTCTCAAACGGACAACTGAGACAAAAATGAAAGCTGTTCAAAGATTGTTGATTGTTGTTCAAAGTATGTTGATTAAATTTGCAACGCTATTATACACTACCTTCACAGGGGGGGCCCGCTAGAAGTAAGAAGAAAATCACAAACTTAAGCAAGGGTCGTCGATATACACATCACATTAAAGGCCTTTATTATTATTGGTAGAATACAATGCCACAAAATGGAGCTTAAAAGAACAACTGAGTAAAAATGGCAGTTGTTCAAAGATTCAAAATGACAGATTTATGAAATATCTAAACAGCGGTCTTTTTTAATAATTTCACCACAATTAGGCCTTATAACTGCGAAAAAACCTTCTAATGAGAGTGAGAAACTGGATAAAACTAGGGTGTACAAGTTAAAATGTGGTGATTGCGAACGATATTATATCGGGCCAAACAGGTCGGTCTTTTGCAACGAGATTAAAAGAACACAAACCAAACCCTCGTTTCACCCAGCAAAAATCTACATTCGCCTAACATATAATTTAGAATGACCATATAATTGGAAAATTGGATGAGAATGTTTCCATTCTCAGCTATTGTAAGAAAGGATTTTTATTAGACATGTTAGAAGAGTTCCATATCTACAAATAGTTAAAAGAAGATGCCAACAACCCACTGAACGACTAAATCCACCACAGCTCCAATTTATTTTTTTACAAAATAATTGAAACCCAAGCAACACTGACGCATCCTATTAGACATGG